TGTTTGTTTCAAGCTAATTGAAATTCTAGACGTGCGGTGTAATTATCGCGGGATCTTTGATTTTCACAACTAAATCTGTTCCCTTTATTTACTATTTTTAAAATTATTAACTATTGGATACCACTTGACAGAATACTTATATTTAATCTTACAATATTTTTTTTGATCTTCAAATGAAAAATGGAATTGTATTGGTCACCCTCGACGAGGATGGGTAATGGTTCGATTAAAGTGAACATGAATAATTTTAAAAAATTTATCATTGGACTCATTAGAGTGTAGTTATTTCTCTTGACGGTGGATTTTTGTAAAATTTCTCTAAGAAATCAATTAGTTCAAATTCATTCAACAAATCCAATATATTTTGCAGCCATTGACAATTTCACGATTTGTCTCTCTTTTGATGAACTAGGAGCCTAATAGTAATTTTGGGAAATATGCATATTCTGTTAATCCTCCTTCGCAATATCATTCGATGTTAAGACCTTTTTTATGAAATAATCTATATTCTCTTTATATGGCACCTATTCCAAGGGTTCAGCCCATTAAATGGGAAAACTCATATTGGAAGTTGAGCACGCTCCCATTACAAAGACTCACGTCTAAATTACACAAACATCCATCTTGTTAATTTGTTAATTACTGAGTTTATTTTCTTGTGGTGGTGGTCGTGGCAGGCGAGATTTCTAGGTGGCCGTTTTCGCCTCAATTTTGGCACGAAATGCCACACGTGTGCTGTTGCTACTGCTTGGAGAGGCGATGAGCAGCATAAATTAGTCTCGTGAATCACTTATCTCCACTCCATCCTCACGCAAAACGAGACATTACTTTTTTTAACTTTCTCCCTCTCTATTTGCATTTCATAATATGCTCAATTGTGATTTGGCGATAGTTTTGCCATAACAGACGTCGATCAATGTAGAATACAAATATGGCATCTGCTTTATTTGCGCAAGCAACGCTGTTCTTGTAAATTTAAACAGTTATTTTCAAGTTCACTTTTGATTTTCAGATGAGTGACTCGAATCCGACCACCCTATTTATTAGCCAGGCTTAAATAGTGCGCTTGCCCATTCTGTTCATAGAGTTCATACCGATGGATACCCTTAGTCTCTGAGATCACAGACGAGCGATACAGCCATACATTATGGGCAATAACTTAATTAATGTATGTAATCTGTGAAATTAGAATCTTCTAGCAAGTCGATCAATATCATTTAAATTTGATTGCATAATGTTTGTATATTACATCGAATTAAAGCAAATATGGCTACCTTACTGCATTAAAGGGATTGGTCAAAATCGGAAAGGAATCATTTCGAGTTTTACATTAAGAATAGAAATAAAAATTGAATGAGTTTATAATGTAATCGAATGGTTGTATGAGTTACTCTCTTTGATTACCCCCAATTTGTCTCCATTTCCCAATTTTAAAATTGAATGAGTGGGAGGAATATCACTCGCCATTTATTTCCCATAATAGCACACCCCTTATCTCCCATTTTGGGCGAAATGTTAGGCACACTGTGTCCTCCAGCGAGGTTTGGTGGTGATGCCTCTAGTTGGTGCATTTTATTAATTCTCTCTGTGCCAAATTTAAATGCACTTTGGCCTGAGATTTCCGTGCCCTTTTATTTTCACATAGTCGAGTTAAGGTTTAGGAATCACATTTACCTAGTCCTATTAAGTGCAGAGGAACCAGCTCAACCAGCGAACGCTGATTAACTCCTACATAACGTGACTTACTTTTGATAATTTCATCGATAATTTATCATTACATCTGTGGTCTGAGATTGACGTACCACAAACGTTACACTTCCATTGAATTTCAAGGCATTGTTGCACCATCGTTGTAATACTTTCATTTATTTATAACAAATGGCAGGCGTTTTGATAGTTATCATTAGCCCTTTAGTTGACTTCGGGCTTCACAGAGGGGAGGAAGAACATCAAAGTGAGAAGAATTCGGGAGGGAGAATAGAAGAGTGATTCACAGACAGACACAATGGCTCAGAAAGGGTAAGATGAGTACTCTGGTAGGGGTCGAACATGACATACAGTGGGGATAATGGTTGTTTGAAGTGAGAAGTCAACTGCCGGTTCATAGACTTTTTTGCCGTATGATTATACGTTGCCCAGTGTGGACCACGAGGAGGTAAGTATATCCCACACCCCTAATACTTTCAGAAACAATGGAGTAATGAGCTGCCTATCATCGACAATTATGTAGGCACATTGTCAGGCATGTGAGCTGGGCAGTGAACGTCGTCAACGCATGTTGTGTTGGCGGGTTTTAGCGCGCGGTTAACGCCCATATAATTTGCCTCACCATCCCAATCTTTATGCTCTTCACAGGTTGCCTTCCCTCCCCTTTTGTGGGTATTAAACTTTGCACTTCTACTGTGCCTCCCCGAGTATCGCTTGTAGAGGGTCGCCTTGGCAATAAAAGTTGGAAAAATGATTTTGTGTGTTGGTGTTCCGAAAATGTATGGCCCACAGTTTTAGCCCACTATTCTTTAGGACGATAGTTTCATTTAAATGAACTTTTTGGTGTATAATTTACCTTTTACAGTAACTTCTGTTTCGGACCATATACCAGCCGAATAGTGGAATAACTCTCTTTTGAGTGTACTTTTTTTGGGAAGGTCTACATTTTGTTCAATTATTTAAGGTTGTGTTGAATAAATTTTCATGAATCTGTGGGTTGAGGAGTTTAAATATTCGAAATCTTGTGAGGTTATTGGTCACTATGGCGTTCAGAAATCGACTTTTAAGGCAAAATGCTGAGAGATATAGTGCCACGAAAAAGCCAAAGTTAGAATTACCGAATCGCTTGAAAAGCCACAGACGATCACGTATATTCCATTTCTATAAGGACTAGTTGATAGTGAAAATTTCTCTTTCTAACCATTCTGTTTGCTTGGGTAGCTAGGTGATTAAAAACTATTCACACTAACCATGTCCTGAATCATGATTTGTAGTTAGGAAAGGGTCTTTCATTCACGGTGTTAATTTTCGTACTTTTTACTTGGACAATATTAGTGTTGAAATAGTTGGGCCGCTAAACACGTCAGCGCTGCCATATTTATACACGTTTACTGATATGAATGACAAACCCCACTGCTTATGCCATGCCAGAAAAAAGGTGTGTTGGGGGTTTTTGGGGTGTTCTCATAACAATATGTACTCAGAATGCCTCCCCCCCTCCAAAAAAAAATCAAGTGGCTTTACCTCTTTCTTTATCTATCTCTTTAGTTCTAAATTGAATCACTGCCAAACAAAATTAGTTTTACATAGAGTTGGCCTCAAAGTTCACTTAATGGCCAATCTTTCTCTCTTTTTCATACATTTCCATTCCTTTTGTTTATTCATTGGAATTTAGCAGTTTGATGGAATACACGTTGAGCTCTTGGCCTCTAGTACTACAGATAGAAGGAGGTTGGCTTCTTCACCATTGTTACTCCCCTTTCTATTTTCATTCATATGAATGAACGCTACTATTTGGCCACATTAGGTGCAACATGCTTTTCAATACAATTTTTACCGAAGGAATGGGGCGAAAAAATGGAACAGAATGGCACTTGCTCATGTTTTTTTTAAATATAGCAAACTTTTCTTCCTTTCCGTCAGCTATGAAACGTGCAGAGGAGTATTGCCTTAGTTAAACAGGGCAGGCCTAACTAGAGTTGCGGGTAACCAACAACCTTATGTGTATATTTACCTGCTCACCTGCCTGCAATGAAAATGACAGGAAACTTCCTTTTTCTTATCAATCCATATTGGAGAGAGCGAAGGATTTCAATTTCGACCTTGTTTCTTTTTTTAGCGTGTGAGTAAAGCTTCAAGCAGCTGTTTTTTTTTCAATTTGCGTACTTTGGATAGCACCAAAGTGCGATAGGTCACTGCGAAATTTTCATTGTGAATTCGTCCTTTTTTAAGCTTTTTACATTTGGGGCTTAGATCTTTATTATGATATGATACGCGAATCATGAGCACGTCATGCATTGGCATTTATATATATATATATATAGCTTTGATGAATTTGATAAATTGTATCGCATTATTTTTTTAATTATAATAAGCGAGTTTTTTGGCTCGACTAATGCATGAGAACTGCAGCTGTTTATAGGAATCGATGGCTTTGCTAAGCAGGCTTGGAAATGTCAATTCTCTCTTTGTCTTGAATTATTTCCTTGAATTACTGACACATTTGAATAATAATATAAAATAAAATAATTATTCATTTAATGTCCTTCATTTATTTACCACTCCACTCCACTCCACTTTCCTTATCTACAATGAGACATTTTGACATTTATACGGTTTATCACAAATTAATTATATCTAATAGGATCCCAACACATTACCATTCATTCTTCTTTCCAAAATGTACACTTAACAATTCTATTTACTCAAATTTACGAACATTTAATTTATGTTCACGGAATGAACTAGTTACCTATATAGTGATCGATAAATATTCATTTCAAATGGCAGGTGTTTTGATAGTTATTATTAGCCCTTTAATTGACTTCGGGCTTCACTGAGGGGTGGAACATCGAAGTGAGACAAATCCGAGGGGGGGGGGGGGGGGCAGAAGAGTGTTTCAAAGATGTAAAAGAGACAGACACAAAGGTAGAAAAGGGTGAGGTGAGTACTGTGTTAGGGTTCGAATATGCCATATAGTGGGGTGATGGTAGTTTGAAGTCAGAATTCAACTGCCGATCAATACACTTTTTTGCCGTATGAGTATACATTGCCCAGGGTGCACTACGTGGAGGTAAGTCTATCGCTCACCCCATGATCGATAAATAAGAGTAGAGCATTTTTTTGCCCGCCACGAAACTGTAATTACTGGTGCAGTGTCTCATTTCGTCCTCACCTCGCAATCTTTACTGTTTTTGCCCACCTCGTGAGTTGTTTACGTAATCCCATAAAGTGGGCATTAGTCTAGTTAATTTTATGCTAATCACCAATTAGTATGCTTAAATGTGGTGTATATGTCGTACTCTCTTTTCTTTCAGCCGCCAAAAGTCAGTGCTACTCTGCCCACCGAATCGTCAGTTAAGGAACGGTTTAGTCATCCAAACTTCACCAACCCCAACACTCTCCGCACTCAGCATACCCAGTCGGTGAGTCTTTTCCCACTGATTGTTTTCCTAATTTGTTTGGTTAGACGTTATTGGCAAATGAACGAAGCCTAACCATGATATATGCCTGCTTACTATCCTACAATTTGTGTATTTTCAAATTCCCGATTGGTCAAGCTAAAAGTTTTAGTTGGTGTTGTGGTTGTATATATTTTTGTTTGGTAGGTAAGCAGTTTTAATTTGATAATTGTTTATGCAAAGTCGGCTAGGGGGTGCTTTGCTCACCACTTACCTTATCTAAAGGGAGGCATTCTGAAGTCTAACCGCTGTGAACTGCGTAATTATCGGCCCCTTTTTCTTTGATTTTAATCATTGGAACTAGTTGTCTCAACTACTATCAAACCCGAAACGCCATATTTGGTCCATTTAATAAAATGTTGGCTTGAATGAATCGATTTCGAAAGTTGATTTTTGGAAAGGAAAGTAAAATTAGAAATATCCATCCTGAAAGAAAAATTTTACAGCGCTCTAATTGCAATTTATTATTGCATGTCTTTCCACTATTCTAGATATTCTGAGATTTTTCTACAAGGGCAAGGAAAGGTTGTCAGAATTGGGTGAAAAGGTTAGATCGTTAAAAGTGTCCTACTTCGTTTAAATTCTATCTGTCCACTTTATACTTATTTGTCATAGTTTACGGTTTCAGTTTCTCAAGCTCCACAACTCGATTATCAAGGTTGGACCCATAATCTCCTGAAAGTCATAATTAAGTGCATAGCCTTGTCGTCTCTTACCATTCTAATCTGTTTTCTGATTGTTACAACTTCAGTGGAGTGCCCACGAGATTATCACTCTAGATGATGATAGTTACTATTTATCGTGCTAATCCCTTTCCAAGATGTCTGCTTAGTATCTTTTCATGAGAAAGCTTCACCCATAGCTTAGAATATTCAGCTTCTAATCTGCCAAGAAATGGTGTCATTATGACCTCCTTTTGATAGACGCTTTTTTTAAAAATGAATTTTGATTAGCTTGATAAGCTTCCCTTTAATGTAGTTATATATTTTTTTTGCTAGAATCATCCAAAAAAATAAAAATTAAAAAATTAGGATCCCTCTCTATTAGTTAACCTTTTATTCTGAAAATTTGTTCGCATAACACAAATTTACCAGAAACATTTTTTGTCGCTTTGAAACATTTATGCTCGAGGCGAGTTTAAAACATTGGTGTTTGAACTGGGTCCTCCTTTTCAGCTTGGGAAGCGTCGATTGTGTCTATCCTTATCGCGGTACCTTGGGATTGTCCTCATTAAAAGATAAGAGAGAACAAAAGGTTGAATGGTACAGCTTTAAATAAATCAAACTTCCAGGGGGCATATTTCATGCCTACCTGGTATAGATGAGTTTTGGAAAAAATTTATGAATTACACTTACACTTTTGAAGATGATTCCGATTTTGTATTTGCAGTTAAAGTTGATATATCAAGTACATGAGATCAAACCGAACCCACACCAGCAATTGCGAATTTTAAGTCGGATTGGACATCGGTGTGTTTGTGTTATTGCTGTTGTTTAAATTGCACTCGATGGAAAATAAATATGCTCCAATGAAATCTCTTACCGTAAAATTATGCTTGTTAGCATCTTGGCATTTAGACAAAATATTATGGAGTGATTTGACCTGTGCAATAAATTGATCACCTGGTCGATTGGGGGGGGGGGGCTGTGTGTACGAACTCACTCAGGGGACAAGCTCTAATTATTGGAATACTAGAACACGTAAGAAGGGGATCATTTCGACTCAGAAGGGTTTTAAGTGTAGCTTCTTCACATTGGACATCTTCTACTTGACACCCATTTCCTCCTCCTTATTGGCCTACTTAACATTGCCCTCGTTAAGTTGCCTTCCTACTGGCAAGGACTTTAAAGAATAATTGTAATAATAGTGAGTCGGCACATGTTGTCCTTTTCCCTGGGACATATTCCGATACTTCTGTTACTTTGCACACCCTTATAGTTACTTCTTATTGTCACTAATAGGATAAAAATGGTCCTCATGTCACTTCAGAGTTTAATTTCATTGGTATATCACCTCAAAATTGGGTACTGCTCTCCTTTTCAACTTGCTACAATGGAATCAACGCGGTTAGGCTTTTATACGGTTACCTGGATGTTGGGCATTGTTTTTTTTTGTCAATCACGCATACACTAGAGCTACATGAATAATACGGTTGAAATTAAGCCTTCATAAAAGTCATGCACGTTTTTTTTCAAATTTATCACATTGTAATACAACTCGGCATTTAACAAACCCCTTAGGTAAACGTTTTGCGCATTTGGCATATACTGATAAATGGCTATGATTTTTCCGACCTCTAATGTAAACTCATGAATGGAATGCTTCCTCATTCTGGTACGTGAGCAGATGTCTGTCTTGATTCGAAATATTCTCGTCATAATAATTTATTTGACCCCTCTTTATGTTTAGTTACATGGGTCATTTCGTCATGCGCTTTCTGAATATGGTCGGTTCTATAATCTCTCCTACGCCAGCATGGCTGAGCAACCAGGTCGGCGCTCAACTGACATCTACCGACGCAATGCCCTCCAGACACCTGCCACATCCAACAGCACATCCCATCTTCAACACTTCCACATACCTCAGGGTAAGTCTTCTTCCTATCATTCTCTTTAGTTTTTTTTTTGGAAGCTGATCAATGGGCACCATTTCCAGTGCCCCTATCAATATGTCTTTTCTGAATTTCTCTTAGTGTTGTGTGGGGCATAGCTTACTCGATTAATTACTACTTTGATCTATTCCTTCGCAATAATCATTTGAACCATATTTTGACTTACTACTGTACACACGCCCTGCATTTTGGCGGTTTCGATGTTTCCAGCTCAGGGGGCATTCTGGTTGAGCGTCTACTCCTGTTCTATGAAGATACTTTGCTAGGCTATCGTGTCCGGTACACAATCTACCTTCTTCAACAGCTTCAATTATTGGCCAGTCGGCTATGTTGGAGAATGCCGCTGTCCACTGTTTCTCCTTTGCTCGAGCTCTAAGTTTGGTACTTCTTGAAGTCTTGCATTCTCTCCTGATTAAGGTCTTTATTATGACCTAAAGGAGGAAATGGAGAAGACCCACTTGATACGGTGTCTAGCTCTACAGACAACGACATAAATCCGGAGATATTGGGAAGCCAGAGGGTGCCTGCCACTTGATATACTTTTTTTCCAGCTTTAGCGATAGAATATTCCGTTTGCCGACCTCTTTAACTGTTTTATTCATTTACTTTATTAGTTACTATAATATGGGTACTGACATTCTTTTGCTTCAATTTATCTTTCTTTGGCGAATTAGATTAGGAAAAGTCTTATTTCTTTTTCTCCTCTTGTTCTACCCTCCGGCTGCAAAGTTTGCGCTTGTTTTTTCCACTTGTTTTATGCTATTTTTGGCACTACTCAAAAATCTGTCAAAATGCAAAAAATGGACTCGGGATTTTTGTGTAGGATTTGGAGATGGGAGGGAGAGAGGGAGAGAGAGAGCAATAATAAGACTAAAAGAAGGAGGTTCTTGTGAGTGACTTTTCGTTTATAACAAAAAACTTAGAAGTGGGCTTTATTCTATTCCTCCCTCTTTGGCGTGCCTGTATCTGAGGCAATTATCAAAATGTGGCAGTTCTTCATTTCCCATTTCCAGTCAGAACAATTAATTACCTCGCTGTTCTTTCTATATGCGTCCAGGAGTATTAAGACCAATGACTTCTACTGCGTAATATAATAATTGCATTGGTCCTTAATAGTTCCTATTCGCGTGTGTTCAAACACTAATTTCCGCGTTATATTTTCAAAAATGGGTGGTAGTGTGTATTTTTGGAAAAAGGCTGGTAGGTATTTGGCGTCCTCTCCCCTCCACCAGTCTTAACATAATTTGCTTTATGTCAACTTCTTCCAAAAAAGGAACTGCGCGTGGAATGAGCCATTTTTTGGTAGCGTTAGGGGATATCTCCATCATGCTTTAGTTTCTCTTTAAATTAGTTCATTTATCTTTTCTAAAGCAAGAATATTCTCCACTTGGAATGTTGTGTTAAATCCCAATTTTCTGTTCGATTCAAATAAATGTTCTTTGTGATGACTCTAAAATTTGAATGAGACGGCACAATCAGTACGCCTTTCTGTTTCATTATCAATCCATTGGTCTTACACGTCTTGCAAATTAAACATTTTAGTGGGCTTTTATGTACTGCTGTGTTAATCCCTCTTTTCCTTCTCTCATTTCATTTTTTCCTCCTAATGCATTTTTTCATAATGTAGAGTGTCTTTTTGAGAGACACTAACAACAACTCCTATCTCTTTCGACAACTGTACATTTTCTCTTTCCTAATCATCTTCGTTTTTGCTCAGGCTAATTTGACATTAATGCATCAATCAGGGGCATACGTATCGCGTTTGTTCTAACCTTGTTGCCTAAAATAGGGACATTTCATTTTCCGTCTTTGTTTCCCCGTAACTAACAGGTGAACTAATTGGGTTGGGGTCCACGGGGAGGGGGGGGGGAGGGTCTATGTGTTGCTTTGGCAACACGGGAAGTGGGAAGGCAGGAGGGGAGGGGGGGGGGGATAAATGAAATACAGATCGAGGATTCCACATCCCTCCTTATCTGAGTCACTAGTAGAGCTTTACCCAAGCTCTCCTTCAGCCTTGTGATTAAGAGTTCAACAGCACTCAAACTTGATAACATAGTTGCTTATTGTCCATGACATGATGGTTTTTATTTAATTTTAACTCGACGAATGGTGATTTATGGCTTTAATGAGAAATGAACAGAGCAGAGGGGAGGGGGGGGGATTTGAGTAGAATTAGACTAGATAGTCCTTTAACTGACTGTTCTGAGCTATTTACTCAATTGTCAAAATGCATGAACTGATCGGTAAGTTTCAAGATAAGTTAGTATCTGTTTAGATCTTTTCGTTGAATCAAATATTTACTCACTCCATTTCGAGAGGCGGAAATCGTTAGATAATGCTAAATGTAATATTTTTATTATCCTTATCCAGGCAAAAATTAATTAGTCTAGGATATTGAAAAGTTGAAATTCCTCAACTTTCTAGTCTCTTTTGTTACAATTTTAGCTTAGACTATATTGATTGGTCGTATACTAGGCCCGTCTGCTTGTGCAACGGTATAGTAACAAAAAGGCATTAATTGAGTTCGAAATTCTTGGCAATCTTGAAGTCATGTGGTGTATATGCCGTCTTGGAATTCGCCTTTGACACGACAATTTTTTTTACTTTACCATGTTATTTACTAACTTTTTCCCCTACTTTAAAGCATAATCTAAGCCAAGCATCAAAATTAATATCGATAAAGGCAAGAATCATTCACTATTTAAAAATGTTTTAAATTTAGAAAAAAAATGATTTTATGGTTCTAATTTCCCTTGACTTTGACCTGCTATCATTTGTGTTGGCTCTTTGGTTGTGCTCCTGTGATTTTGGAAAAAAAGAAACTTTTTTCCTTCACTTTGGTACTTTTATTCTGGGGTTTTCAGGTCGTTAAATATTTTCTCTCTTCAAGGGAATTCAATGTAAATCCTTTTTGTGATTTCTTTTGTTTATGTAAATGCTCTTTGAGGGAGAAAGTAAGTTGTCCGGAAAAATGCTATTGTTTGCTCACATTCTAACGCATATAGAAACGCCCTCGGCTTTTCCAATTTGTTTATTGAAGTTTACTACCAATTCGAGATTTTTTGAACTCCCTGATCTTTTCACCTTCTTGTTTTACCTCATTTTCCTCTGCAACACCTTTTTTATTTATTCAGTGACAAAGCTCCATCTTCTGTCCTAAAGCGTGTTGTACGTCGGTTTGTCAGATAGAATTTCCACACACAGCATTCAAATTATACATTCTAAACTGTCTGAAAGACGCTCTATTTGATTAGAAGCAAAACTAGAATTACATGAATAAAATTCAGGTAAGATCTCTGCACTCATTTGCATCCTCGTCAACACTTTGCGGTAGAGGATTACTGGTACTTGTTTGTGCTTAAAATATCCCAGCTCTATTTTATTTGATCGCATCGGTACATTGAACCTTGCCCTTCCCATTTTTCCTCCTTGGGGTTGGAGGGAGGGGGTGGGGGAGGTTGAAGGATGATTAGTTTGGGAGAGACCATTCTTCAGGTTCACTTCCTAATTTATAGTAAGATCCACTAACTTCGGTTTCGTGCTTTTTTACACAACACTGTTTTGACACTGCCACTACTACTCTGTAATGAAACGTGTAAATGACGTGGTAAATTAAAACGATAAAGTCGTCTATTTTGGTTCGTATTTAAGATATTTTTACTTCTAATTAATGCGTATACTTACAATGGATTATAGCTTCGCCTTTCGTAGTGGTTTAACATTCGGAATTTTTAGATTAATTTCATCGATTCCTTTAATTTTTTCAAAAATGTGAAAACACCTTTATTGTACATTCAACTGAAATAGTGCTTAACGTGAATTGGGGAAATGATTCGGAACTAACCCGATATCGTCCACCCAAGTAGACCTTTAATTCTTCACTAATTAATTCATCAAGTGTATTTTTATTGCGCAGTTTCTCCTGAATCAGTTGTTGTTTTGCATTAATTTGTCTATACAGTTTATCTAAACGTGTTTACATAAAGTAAATGAGAAAGTTGGTTAGCTTCCGATAATCTTTGTTATGGAGGGTTAGCGAAATGAATCACCTTCTTGAAGATTGAAGATTGAACATAGAATTGTCGTTGCCTGCTTTCCACCTACATTCTTTTCTTTTGTTGAATGAATTAAATTAAAATGGGGGAAAAAATTTCCCATTTTCTTTTTTTTTCCCTCCACTCATTAAACTGAAAAATTAAATTGAGGGCTAAAGTCTCTTGAGAAGTGACTTCATTTTTGTTTTTTTTTTTCGAACCTTCTAATCCTTTATCCAAATGGATAGGGATTTCTTTTCTGAAATTCAGTGAATTTAATCGAATTTCGCCTTAATTTTTTTTATATTGCGTATTTCTCGAACCTCTATTGTGGTAATTCAAAAGTTATTAAGTTATCAAAGTGGATTGGTACCAATTCATGTACATTTACGGAATCTCTAATGTCGAGATTAATATAAACGCCTCATTTTCGCCCATTATGCGAACAATGTCTCCTTTAATAATTTCGACTTTTAAGTATCTTTGAGCATATCATGAAATTCCTATGATAGCATAATTTTAGCCAATTTTCATATCTCCCGAGGAAGAAGCCATGAAATTTCTCGTCCCACAGAGGCAATTTCATTTGCTTTTGGCTTAAATCACAGCGAAATAATTTCTCACTGAAGTGTATTGCACTTTTGCATGTGGGCAGTTATATATCGCATTTTGTTATCTCATTTTAGCCATAACTGCGACTGTGTCATTTAAAAATCAGTTTAAAATAATTTCAAACTCAACGTTGTGCGCCGGAATGATAGAAGAAGTAATGTGGCGTTCAGATTTGCGTTTATTGATTCACCTGCCAGTTTACCCTGGTCCCTACACGAGGTATTAATTAGCGGCAACGTAGTACTTCAATTTTTTTGAAAAAAACAAATACTTCCCTTTGTTCAAATATTTTGTGATTGACACCTTAAAGTAAAATAATAATTTTATTTATTACTTAAATAGGAGTTAAGCTTTGGTATTTTTTATGTTCTTGTATTTAACAGTCATATTATTACTGACGAGGATTACTAGTTTGTGTGTGTGTGTTTTGGCAAAAAAGTTACCCCACCACTTCAGAATGCTCTCTACCTGAAAAATATATATGACTTTTTATATTTAGAATTCGAAGTTTTGGTCATGTTGATTCGCTTTTTAATTATCTCTCTCTCTCGCTATCCCTAAATACACTGCACTTAAAAGTACCGCTTATTCACAACCTCCGAACTCGTTTTTTCAGTGTACTTTTACTTGAAAACAACTTCTAGATTTTTAAAATGTGCTATTTTTAACATTTTTTAGATAAAATTTTTCACACGTCTTCCGGTTTCGTTAAAAATCTATGGAAGTTTTAATTTCAAGACATTTCTCCGCCTAGTATTTGCTATTTGATTTAAAGTTTTCCTTCAAATGTCTCTCTATTGTAAATATTTGATGTCGGCAAAATCGTTGGTAACTTTGTCGATGAATATCCTTTCTGTTATTACTGGAATACATCGAGTGCATATTTGACCTTTAAGGCTAATTATTGATGGACTCTTCGTTTTTAGTAGCGTCATGCTTCTTGCATAATATTAGGTAAAAGTGGAAGCAGAATTATTGATGTTCCTGCCCACTCCGCATTTGAAAATAAATTCAAGGCTTATACGACAATTTCGTCCTCGATAGTTGCACTCTAGACTTGAACTTATTCCCTATCGTGCATGTCTCGAAAAATGCTCACTTCCTTTTCTCATTGCCCGTATCTTGCCCACAAGTCTAGCGATTAAATTGTGCATTTGACGATAATATTTTTCTGCTAACGCATCTAAACAAGGATTATTTTTTTGAGTTGTATTTTTGAATAGGCATAGACTTACAGCAGCATTCTATAGGGTGTTCAAGATGCCAACTGGGAAATCTATCAAAATAAGATGAGAGTCAAAAGACTGACGTTGTTACTACTTGGCCTAGAGGCGTTTTGCTTGGGGCCCCAATGACTGAGACTAAACAATTCCATCTTTTATCTAAAGTAACCTTTTAAGGAGCGCACAACAGGACCGATTCAACTGAACTTGTTGTTACAATGACGTAAAAGAGACTAATTCAATGAAGTAAAAAGTTTGTCTTATATTTGCAAATATCTAATTTTAATATTTGCAAGTAATTTTACTATCGCAACTACAAATCTGAAGCCTTTTATCATTTTTTTCCTAAATTAAAAAGCAGTTCAGTAAAATGTAGTTGAAATGCAGTTGATATGAAATAAATACTTTTATGGTTCACCAATGGAATTTGTTCCAACAAATATGTTATGTAAGAACACCTTTTAGTTTCACTCATTATGAAATTTGTAATCGGCTTCCCAACATTTTTAACAAATCTCCCCAAATTACTTCATGTGTGTTGACTCACATCAAACTTATTACCACATGACCAGTTAAAAAGTGGACTGTTTCATTCCTTATCCAGGCAGTCGCTTCACCCTGGAGCCCACTCGTATAATCCCCGCCGGTCTGTCTCGCAACTCGCGTTCTCTCAACACCGGTCTTCGAGATGCTCTCATAGCCCAATATTCCTCAGTCTCCTCGGGTCGTTTGGCATCTTCCGTTTCAAATGGTGGCGGTGGTGGTGGCTGTTCGGATTCCAGTCGACACTCTACTCTGGTAGTGGAAAGTGAAGCGGCTTCATTGGAGGCCAGGAGGCTGGCCAGTTTCCCTTCTGGTCAGCCCCCAGATGCTTCTTCTGTGCCCGCCATTGAACGCTATGATTGGCCGGCTCCTGCATCTACGGCGGTTATGACAGCTGAACTCAGTAAGAGCGCATCATTACTTGGGTTTATGTTACTTTATACACTAAATATTCTCTCTTAATTCTGCTTTAGGCTCTATCAAATCATTTAATCCTAGGATTAGTTGTATTGGAAGAAGTATGCAGTCCATCTTCAAAACATTAAACCTCTTAATCTTCTAAGCTAAGCTTGAAATGTCACTTTTACTTTTGTAACACAAAAGGACGATTTGTGATTCTAATTGAAATTGAATTGAACGATACGTAAATGCATCTAGTTAATTTACGTTTTTGTTTAACAGCGAATCATTTTGATATTCTTTCACCTAAGTCCTTTTCCTAGTTTGTTTACTATGTCCTGAGGTCACCTTTAAGTTGTAGATCCGGTCATTTGAAAGGACAAGGTGTTGGGGCAACACCATTCCAGTCTATTGAACGCTATTAGTCGTGTCTATAAGGGGAAAAAATGTGTTGCTCTATTTTATTTTGATTACTATTTAACTCTCTTCGATCTTATAAACACCAACACCTCAACGCTAGTTTGCTAGCCCTATCTATGATATTTTTAGTTAGTTATTTCTTTCTAAATTACTGCTTTGTTTTCCCTGAGGTCTTCAAGTTAGAGTGAGACGAGTTGGTCGCATAAATCGAATTAAACTTGAGGATTATTAACTTTAATTGGCATTGACTACTTTAATTAACTGCTTGAATGTCAACAGCAGCCTATAAATTATCATTATTATTAAACTATTTACCAACTTTAAAACTTTCGATTTGCAAACAAGTCAACTAATCACAGTTTTACGATTATTAATCTGTCTTTGTCATTGCTTTTAGCCTCCAATAGACATAGATTCGAGTGGTTTCGACTTTTTAACAATTACCTCTAATGCATGTTGATATTTTATGGGGAATTCATTTTTTGGCCAACTCTATGCCTAACTTTTTACCCAATCTCTTCTGTTAGACATGTTCGCCTTTTTAATTCACTTTTGTATTTCCAATGTATAAGAAATTAACTTCTACATCACCAACTAAAATATCTTTAGTGTTGCATTTGTCTCGAAGTTTAACTCACGATATCTACCGATTTTACGCTCCCCAAGTCTTCAAATATGGGGCCGGAAGTGGCTACCAGCTTTATTGAGTATCACCATCTGTCAGTTAGTTTGAACTTGCAATCGTTGATTCACTACTTATAATCATCTATTCTTTCAGTATTTCGTTCTCGATCAAGGCACATGCCTTGATCAAAAAAGCCTCTTTTCCACACAACTTTTAATGCGGGACTAAGTTTATTCAGTCCGTGACAGCAATGAACTTTAGGGTTAATTGACGAAAGTAGATGATTGGAATGTTGGAGGTTATTTTTTCTCATTGGCCTTTCTTTGTAAACTACAAAAGGGTTAGAGTGTACTGTTGGGAACATCTTTATCAACAATTAGTTATTCTTCATTTGCAAAGGCTACCATTCTTCAATTGGCACGTATTTTAAGCAATCTATACGTGAGGCAGAATGGAATGGCATAAGTTGTCCCACCTCCTGAAAAAAACATTTACAATGTATGGTAGGAATTCAATTGATCGAGTGTGAAGCTGGTGGTGGTGGGGGGGGGGGGGGGGGGGGGGGGGCTGAGACTTGATCATTAGAAATCAATGCTGATCAATAACTGATTTGTTTAGTAATAAATTAACCTGGTAATCAGTTGAAATTACCTCAAAGTCCTTTGCCTTACATGCAGCAATTAAAATTACAGTTTCCACTGGTTACTTTATGTCTACTGTCATGATTCATATGAGATCATAAAAAGGCAAGATTACATGCATTCTTCATAGGCGCATTCTCCCATAATAATTTCATGTGCCGAAGCCTCAGAAATTAGTGCAGAAGTGAAGACTTTAACTTTTTATACGCTTTATCAGTTTTTTTCTCATCAATGATTGGACCAATTTGGTAGGGGGCATCTATCCTCAGTTTTAGACAGCTCCCAGGGTGGGGGTGGGGGTGGGGGGGGGGAGAGTTGAATTTATTAACACCTTTCACATTAGCCATTTTCCCATCTTCCCTGGGATTTCGTTAATGTCACACAGTGTCTAAAACACGTTGCCCCTAATGGACAATTTTAAGCGCTTCCGACCATTTTAATAAATAAATAAATAAATAACTTCTCTAGTCACCGCCATTTTGAATGGGAAAAGTGAACTGAGCAAATTCAGGTTTCCTTACTCCCCTCCCCCACCCCCTTCCACGTGAATAATTCAAACAGACTTCAGAGGTTGCGAAGGTGAAGTGCAACTGGGCTTAGCAACAGTAAACTTTTCTGCACGAAGTTTACTCTTGCAATACACCTATGCCGTTTGATTTGCAACCAAGTTAAAAAGCGAAGGAGAAAATTCAACAGATTTATATTTCTTTTCAATTCTAATATACCTACATCGTGACACAGTCCTTTGTTATACGGGTGTAGTAAAGTAGATCTAGCAAGAAATAGGCCTCTGTTCAGAGGGGACTTGAGAGCTCTTTCAGTCATCTTATAAATTAACTTTTATACAAAAGCAATTATCAAAAGATCGAAAATGAAAGTCATTCATTTTTTTCAATGGATTGCTGATAGAAATGTTCTTTCTTGATCGACTTGCCCAACTTTGCACCTTCAAATTCCTTACAATTTGTTATTTATTTATAAACTGCTTAACGACTTTCCTGCTTTTATACTAGTTGAAGGTTGCTTTGACAACCCTGCGACACAGCGCATCACGCTGATTGATTTCTCTGAGAGCTAAAGCGGGCAATTAGAGAGAAGACAACCTCAAGTAGGCGAAGAAATTATTGCCTTCATAAATGTACCTTTGTTTAAGCAATGGGCCATGCTTTGCAATTTTGACTCGAAATTGGAAAGTAGAGTTGCTAAAGTGTAATCAGTCAATATTTTATGAAAATCTATCCATTTTGATATCATCCTGGTTTCATAGGTGGTCGGGTAAAAATTGAGCTGGATGCCTGTCACACCACCACAAACTTATATTAATCCGGAGGTGTATTTCCTCAATTTTGAAAAACGCCTCTTCTTTGTGCAACTGAGCACTTGTTCATTTGGGTTCTATTCTCAATTAATGTTACTTATACTGCGGAGTATTAGAGCACTTAGTGTTATAGCTAATTTTCTCCTTCGTCTTTCCTTTTTTTTCGCGTTTGTTTGCTTCGGTGGATACCCTCACGGACAAATCATTTTGCTCAATCTGGACAGTTTGGATGATGTGAAGTGTCTACTCTTTTTCCTTGATGCATAGTTGTTAAAGAAAGACAACAAATGTTAGAGGTTTAGGGACAATGGTAGATTTATTTGCTAATAAAATTCAATATATGAAGTTGGGGGGTATTGCATCTGTTTTGGTAAAAATGATTTATGTATTGGCATAAATACTTAGAGTGAAAATACCGATCATAGTTTAGCCAAAAAGGTATTTTTTGCATTGACAGGTTTAAATCCAAACTTTCATCAATGTCAGGTCTCTTTTTACGGCAGAGCGAGTAACAATTAGCTTCCATTTCTGTTAAATCGACAGTTACTTTATTTGAATAATATAAAAAATATTAATTACATGAAATAAAATCAACTTGTGCATTTTAACTTCCTTAGTTTTGTTTTTCTCTTACACACTTAAACATTTAAATGGTTTTTTTGCGCCTAATATTATTTTTTTACTTATTCATAAACGTTTTATGGACACTTTCTACTTATTTATTCCAACTTTTCCACACATAAATTGTTGGAAGCTGAAATTTAAAATTTTGCAATTTATTAACATGTTCAATGTTCACCTTTTGTATACAAGGGTATGATATTGTTATTATCTAAATTACTTCAGGAGCATTGAGTGCCAGAAGAAAGGGTAAGTAATGGTTATATTTGCGTATCCTCCACCCAACTCCCCACCTCCCCCTCCCCTCCCCCTCCCCCTTCCCCTTCCCCTCACTCTCTCTCTTCGTCAATTTCTAGTTTTACGTCCTAGTCTCTTGTGTTTTGCGTTTTATATATATCGAGCTTCTTCACTATTGCTTAAGTTTTTGATCGGTGATTAGTTTTAATGATTCTCTGCGATAACGAAGCTTTCATACACGGAGATTAAGCCATAAAGTTGGTTTATTGCGATAGGTAAATCACGAAATAGGCGTTTCTGTTTTTTGTTAGCTTTACCTCCGATATTTACAGCATTGCATTTGTGCATTTTAGCTTTACTAGTTTGGAAATATAGGAAACTTTGCCAGAACTGTAACAGCCCTACTTATTGAGCACTTTCCATTCATCGGTCAAACAGTTGTACTTTCTTTACTCATTATTTATTTAGGCGTTGTCCCGAGTGGAGGAGAATTTATAAAAAAAATTATGGAGTACTTTTCGTTGTTTTCCTTTGCTATATAATTTTTTGTAACCTATTGAAATTCATGGGAAGTGCATTGTGATGGATACTGCTAACACCCCAAATATTTGATTTTGTGGGTCCATGGTGCGCATTTATCGGTGCTCATATCCCATCCTGTAAACAAACCCGCTAGCTTAAAAATAACACCCATCGATTTGTGTGCATTCGATAATAATTCTTTCATCCATTGAGGCTTTTAAAGATCCCCACTCATTTGAGCTATAAACTTGACTTCACGTGCACTCTCTATTTTCCAAATTGGGCAATTTATGTACTTCTCTCATCATTTCTGTTTGCACGTTTTAATTACCAATCTAACACTTGTAGGTTGATGGGTCAAAATATGCTTTTCGCGCGGGATGCTTATGAATATTTCTTTTCCGGCCTTATTTTAGTGCGAGAGCGTCGACAACGATTGCGAGAACAAGGCGTACTTGCAGCGAGTTCGGATGAAAGTGTGGAGGATCTCAGCATAGACACTTCAATTGGCAGTCACAATGAGCTAGATGGTGTTGCCGGAGGCATTGGCAGAGTAAGTCCTGTCGTCCATTTCTTTTGATTACTTTATGATCAGCTTATTGAGCTAATGCTAATACACCTATTGCAAGCTTCAAATAAACCAGTATAGCTCTACTTACGGTCTTATAATTAAGAAGTAGCCACCAAGTCTCCGCAGAATCGATAGGAATGTCACCTTTCATTAACTTGATATTTGGATTGGTGGTGCTATAGGTACTCTGTTCTTACTTGTAGATTTGGAAGGACTTGTTATTTTTTCTGTTGGATTGAAATATTAGTGTTGCGTGTTTTCTCAAGCTCTTCCAGGTCTCAAGTCTTATCGGGCAATAGTAGCCAATACCTTTGTTGCTTCCAACACTTCATCTCAGAAGTATATGTTCACTTCTTCTTTCATAGTTCTAACGCGTTGAAGTTATTTTGCTTGCTTTGAAGTCGGTCATCAGATTTAATTATACCACCCGCCTTATTAAAACACAAATTTTGCCGAGCAAACCATAAACTGCAGCGTATATTTTTTCAATAGAATCTTTTAAATGAAATATAAGCACTGAGCATGTATATTCCTATTGGGAAATATCTCATCAGACAGCCATAAACGCTACCTTTGGCTAGCTGTCATACACATTCACGTTTGCGTGATCCCTACCCGTCTAAACAAACTGAAACGGCACCGTATGATAAAAGATTTAGCCTTTTGCAATATATAATAAAAGTTGTTGAGTGGGTTCATTCTTCCGATTAAGGGGTGTTTTTTTCCCAGACGAGGCTCTATACCGCTCTATTTGACTTGCATGAAATGCAGAACGTATTGTTTGCGTGATTTCCAGCCATTCCCGTGTCGACCGTCTTTCACATGAGTTCATGCGCTAGCCCTACTGTTCTGTTTCACGAAAAAGCCCATTTTCCCAATATCTAAAGTTCCTTTATAGTATAAGGGAGTTAGGAGAAAATTTTAACATAGTTTGCTTCACAATTTAGTGGTCAGGTTGGAAGTGAAGTGACGCCAACAATCCCATCTTTATGGCAAACCTATCGGTTTTGCTTGCAAATGAACACCTTTTTACTTTGCAAGACGCTATTTTAATTTGGCACAGCCATTATTATTATTTAGCTCGGGGGGGGGGGGGGGGGGGGGGGGGGGGGGGGGGGGGGG